TTGCCAAAAACCCCCCTTCATTCCAGCTGGTTGACTGGGCACTGTGGCATAACTGTAGCACAGCCTGTAATTTTTAAACTGGGATCCTTTCAGCACCTTCTGGGATAATGGAGCACTTTGCAGTTTTGCTTGTTTGTGAGTCGAGATAAGATGGGTGGACTTCAACTCCCAGAATTCCCATGGCTGGCTTTGGGGCCTTTAGGACAGTGTTTTTCAACCTTCGGGGCTTGATGTGTGGACTTCAACTCCCAGAATTCCCATGGCTGGCTTTGGGGCCTTCGGGACAGTGTTTTTCAACCTTCGGGCCTTGATGTGTGGACTTCAACTCCCAGAATTCCCATGGCTGGTTTTGGGGCCTTTGGGACAGTTTTTTCAAATTTTGGGCCTTGATGTGTGGACTTCAACTCCCAGAATTCCCATGGCTGGCTTTGGGGCCTTTAGGACAGTTTTTTCAAATTTCGGGACTTGATGTGTGGACTTCAACTCCCAGAATTCCCATGGCTGGCTTTTGGGCCTTCAGGACAGTGTTTTTCAAACTTCGGGCCTTGATGTGTGGACTTCAACTCCCAGAATTCCTCAGCCAGCCATGCTGGCTAGGGAATTCTGGGAATTGAAGTCCACACATCTTAAAGCGGCCGAGTTTGAGAAACACTGCTCTAGAGGTCCCCCCCTGTCTTTCTCCATCCTGACACAAGATTGTGTCAAGGAGGATGTGATGATTGACCTTCCTTTTTCCTTCCTCCACAATCTGATCTGGTCCCTCCATCTTCCACCCACCCTTTAGAGCTGGACAATGCTTGTCACCTGCCTGCAGCTGCCCAGATCTCACTCCGCACTCTCCTGACGTGCAGGAACATCTGGAAAAACATTCTCTAGGACCCAAAATGGTGCACTCAACTTGAAGCGTACGATGATCTGGGATACCTCCGAGCAGGTCCTTACCGTCTCACCTGAACACCCACCCACTCTTCGTATCGTTATCGTGGATCTGAATATATGGCGAAGTGTCACGAAATGTCGGGTGAAATTCACCAAATGTCTCAGTCAGACAACGGGGGGGGGGGGGAAAAAAAAAAACCCAAGCTGGGCTACCCAGCCAGCTTGATTTTTAGTCTGGTGCTTAAGCAGTAGACCAGGGGTAGGCAACCTTGGCTCTTTTGTGACTCGTGGACTTCAACTCCCAGAATTCCTGAGCCAGCCATGCTGAGGAGAGGTTTCCAGGGAGAGGTTTCCAGGCTGAGCCATGCTGGCTCAGGAATTCTGGGAGTTGAAGTCCACAAGTCATAAAAGAGCCAAGGTTGCCTAGCCCTGCACTAGACCAAACTGACTCTCTTATTTTCCTCTTAACGGTCCTTTCAGTGGCAGTTAGTTCCTTCCTTCCATCCTAAATGGGTCTTGGGCATCCTTGTTTGTTCTTATGCTTTTGAACCCGTGAGCTAAACCAGGTTGGCGTATTTTTGTCCTCCAGATTCATAGCCCACGCGATCTGCCACTGTTACCAGCAGGCCTGGGAGTCCATGGAGGACCCGCGCGCCAAGTTCTACTTCCCCTTCCTGTTGTCAGCTGGCAGCGCCGGCCTCGGTTGCCTCTTTCTCTGCCTCACCGTCGGTCGGTATGGACGGCGCGGGATTCTGCTCCTCACCACGACCCTGACTGGCATCGCCTCTCTGATCCTGCTGGGGCTGGGAGAATGTAAGAACCCTGGGCTAATTTCCAAGGAGCGTCTTCTTGCGGGATCCAATTCCGGGATCAGCGGTTTACTCTTCCGAACTCCGAGCTTCCGAGCTCCTGGAAGCCAGCCACCAGATTGCAAGGACACAAGCGAGCGATCCAACGAGGAGGCCTCGATAGCCTCACATGGCAATGAACAAGGACAGAAATTCAGTTTCGCAGCTACTAAGATTGTTGGCTGAGCAGAGACAAAAATAGCCAGGGAAATATCTATGGAAGTTCTCAGTCATCCAGGTGGTGGTTGTCCCAAAGGTGCTTTTTTTCAGGAGGCAACTGGACAGCTGGTCATTTGCATTCTTTTAGAGGGTCGTTGAGGCCATTGGGACATTTACCTGTGTCCTCAGGGTCACCTGAGTAGTGCAAGTGTGCAAATGCCAAGAAGGCTTCCACACCCATTTGCACCACTCAAGTGACCCTGAGGACACAGGTAAATCTCCAAGTGGCCTCAATGACTCTAAAAGGATGCAAATGACCGGCCGTCTGCAAGGAGTATAAATCCATTCTCCGCCATCCAGTCAGAGCTGAAGAAGCTTCTTGGAGGCGGGGGTGGGGGCACCAGGTTGTCCAGCTGCCTTCCCTGCTCTCCCAGCCTGTGTGTCTTCACACCTTCCGTTTTGTCTTCCGTTGCAGATCTCAACAATGCGGCCCGAAGAACGTTTTCCATTCTTGGTCTCTTCACCTCCCACGCGGCCGGCTCGCTCAGCGTCTTCTTCGCTGCGGAAGTCATCCCCACCGTGATCAGGTGAGGCAGAAAAGGCTCCGGGAGAATAAGGAGGGGTCCCGGGCTAGAGAAATGAAGAATTAAAAGACAGAGACAGTCTCCACTGTAAATTCACATCCTTCCTTATCTTTCAGTCCATCCATTTTGTCTTCAAATGGCTAGTCCTCACAGCTTTTGCTCCTTCCTTCCTTCCTTCCTTCCTTCCTTCCTTCCTTCCATCCACCTCTTTTCCTTTCTTTCCATTCTTTTTTCTCCCTACCTGTTCCTTCTTTCATCCCACCTCCTTCCTTCCTTCCTTCCCTCGCTTCCTTCCATTCATCCATCTCTTTTCCTTTCCATTCTTCCTTTTTTCTCCCTACCTGTTCCTTCTTTCATTCTCCCTCCGTCCTCCCTTCCTCCCTTCCTCCCTTCCTTCCTTCCTATCTTTTCCTCCCTCACTCCTTCCCTCGCTTCCTTTCTTCCTTCTGTTTATCTATTTTCCCTTCTTTCCTTCCTTCCTCCCTTTCTCCCTCCCCCTTCCTTCCCTCCTTCCTATCACTTTTCCTTTCTCCTCCCACCATCGATCCCTCCCTCTCCTTTCTCCTTTCCTTCCTTCCTTCCTTCCTTCCTTCCTTCCTTCCTTCTTTTTCTTCCTTCCTTCCGTCTTTCTTTCTTTCTCATTCCCATCTCCTTCCTTCCCTCCCTCCCATTCCCATCTCCTTCCTTCCTTCCCTCCCATTCCTTTCCTTCCTTCCTTCCCTCCCATTCCCATTTCCTTCCTTCTCATTCCCATTTCCTTCCTTCTTTCCTTCTCCTCATTCCCATTTCCTTCCTTCTTTCTTTCTTTTCCTTCCTTCCTTCCGCCTTCCTCCCTTCCTCGTGCCAAAAAGCAAGATAGGCAGTATATAAATTTAATAAATAAATGAAAAAGAATATGAAGGGAGGGGGAAAGAAAAAGGACAACAGAGCAGAAAACTCGAGACTCCTGCCAATATAACAGGGCAATTTTCTTCCCGCAGAGGAAAAGGTCTTGGCATTATCCTGGCCTTGGCGTCCCTCGGAGGGCTGAGCGCCCCCTTGTTGCGGGTGCGAGAGCAGCACGGCTCCTTCCTCGAACACATCGTCCTGGCCTCCCTCAACATCCTGGCCCTGCTTTGCCTGCTGCTGCTGCCCGAGACCAAACGCAAACCCTTGCCCGAAGGCCTGCAGGACGGAGAACTTTATCGGAGGCCTTCGCTGCTCCGGCGGGCTGGCGAGTCTGCGGGCCGGGACTCCGAGGGGGCGTCGCGGCGAGACGACGTGCCGTTGCTTTCCACCCCGAATCCTGCCAGCTGATGCCACGGCGGGCTCGGTTTTGGCCTCTGTGCGTTTGCCGTTGTGGTTAGGGTGGGCTCGTCCAGCGAACGCAAGGGCCGAAGAGAGGTCGTGAGGGGGAAAAAATCCGATTTTTGGCCTTTTTTCCTGCTTCTGATGTCGCACGGAAGCGGAAGCAGCAACTCGTTGGTTAAACGGACGGACTAAATTTGCAGCCCTTGAGAACCAGGATTCGTAGCTAGTTGCCCCAAAATAGCTAGAGCAGTATTTTCTCGATCTCAGGCACTTCAAGATGTGTGGACTTCAATTCCCAGAATTCCCCAGCCAGCGTTGCTGGCTGGGGAATTCTGGGAGTTGAAGTCCAGACATCCACCCACCACCCTTTATTCCCAAAACAAGCTGAAATTTGAAACTAAAGCTAAGCCAGACTTTCAAGGATGAAGAAGTTTTGTAAGACAGAAAAAAATCTGAAAAATTTCTTCCCGGACGAGAATTTTTAACAGACTTTCTACTTTTGGGCAACGGAAAGATTTGGGGGTTTACGAACGGAAGGATACGGGGTCAAAGTGTCGAAGTGCTTCACTAGGAAGTCGGGCTGATCCTTTGGGTTTTTTTAAATCTCTCTTGGATTTTTTTTTTTTTAAGTTCTTCAAGGGACAGTTTGGGGAGCTGGCAGATAATTCTGGTTTGTTTTTGGTTTGTTTCTTTTTTTCTCGTTTTACCGATGTAGGACAGGGGAAACCTAGGGCCCCGGAATCAGTCTGTGGATTGAGGTCTGAGGCAGAATCCACATTGTTCGACCTATGCATCCATCTCGTTTTTAATAATTGTGTCTGTGACACGTATCTCTTTCGCAAAGGGCTCGCCGCATTCAGGACGTTGGATCGGAGGTGATGAAATCCTAAAGTGGAATCTTGGGGTTTATTTCCAAGGCGTGGTTTCCCTTCCCTCCCCGAAAGAAACCGTCGATTAGATCAGACAAAGATTATCCTTCCGTGCTTTTCTAGGAAAACAGTGAGTTTGGTCTGGGCATCAAAAATGTCCGATCAGCCCATTCTTCACTAGGCCAATTCTTCATTTAACGCTGTGGAGATTCTCAGTCATCCAGGTCATCGTTCTCCCAAAGGTGCTTTTTTTTTCACGAGGCACCTGGACTTTGTTTTTCTTTGAAGATGTTTCGCTTCTCATCCAAGAAGCTTCTTCAGCTCTGGCTGCACGGTGGGAAATGGCAGGGTTGATATTCCTTTGCATTCCTCTGGTCATTTGCATTCTTTGAGAGAGTCGTTGAGACCACTTGGATGCCAGCTCTGTGTCAAAATTGAATAGAAGGGGAGGGATACGACATCCTCTATCTCCAGTCTACCACACAATCCTTTCAGCAGCTCCAAGAAGGCTCCATGCCCACTTGCACCACTCAGGTGACCCTGAGGACACAGATCAACCTCCAAGTGGGCTCAACGACTCTCTAAAAGAAGGCAAATGACCAGAGGACTGCAAAGGAGTATAAATCCTTCCATTCCCCACCATGCAGCCAGAACTTGAAGAAGCTTCCTGGATGAGAAGCGAAACCTCTTCAAAGAAAAACAAGAAAGTCCAGTTGCCTCGTGGGGAAAAAAAAGCACTTTTGGGACACATAAGTGTCTGCAAATCTTTATCCAGAAATCTTTTTCTGTCTAGCATTATTTGCTCGCAGCGAAGAGAAACGAAACGACAGCTGTATACAAAGACGATATCAGCCGTCAGTTCCCCAGCCCAGATCTGGAATATACAGGCAGTCCTCGACTTAACGACAATTGAGACAATTTCCCGACTTTTCTTGCCACGGTTTTTAAATGAATCACCGCAGTTTGTAAGTCAGTGACCTGGTTTCCCCGTCGACTTTGCTTGTCAGAAGATCAGAAAAAGGGGATCGTATGACCTGGGGATAGTGCGACTGTCATAAATAGGAGTCGATAAGCCTCTGAATTTGGATAGCGTGTCCAGGGAGATGGCGCCCTGGTCCTACGTGTGTGAAAAACAATCCTTTGGTAGTGCGGTTGTAACTCCGAACGGTCGCTAAATGAACCGTTGTAAAGTCCAGGATTTCCTGTATCCAATTTTTTTAATAGGTTACAAATCATTTTTCAGGGCTTAGAGTTAATAGCAGGTTTTATTACCAATAAAGACAGAGATGATCGCTGAAGGAACGGCACAGCGTCATACCCAGGGAGGGAATCACTCAGGCCGACGCACACGTGTGTGTGCACTAACACTACTCCTTTTGCTTTCCTGGGAGTTAAACATGCAACATCCCCCCCTCAATTTTTTTTGGGACTGCTTTGTAGACTTAAAGGGAAATAAAACACTTGACTGTTACTAAGCTAAATAAAAGAAAGTAAAAAAAACCAATCCACTCGGAAAACCCCTATCTAAGCTTCGGAGTCTTTTGGGGGGCAAGAATTTAATACCGCTTTACAAGGCCTGGGTAAGGCCACACTTGGAATACGGCATCCAGTTTTGGTCACCACGATATTAAAAAAAGATGTTGAGACTCTGGAAAGAGTACAGAGAAGAGCAACAAAGAAGATTAGGGGACTGGAGGCTAAAACATAAGGAACGGTTGCTGGAATTTGGGATGTCTAGTTTAACGAAGAGAAGGACGAGGGGGGACATGATAGCAGGGTTCCAGTATCTCAGGGGCTGCTCCAAAGACGAGGGAGTCAAGCTATTCTCCAAAGCACCTGAATGCAGGACAAGAAGCAACGGATGGAAACTAATCAAGGAGAGAAGCAACCTAGAACTAAGGAGGAATTTCCTGACACAACAATTAATCAGTGGAACTCCTTGCCCCCAGAAGTTGTGGGTGCTCCATCACTGGAGGTTTTTAAGAAGAGATTGGACAGCCACTTGTCTGGAATGGCATAGGGTCTCCTGCTTGAGCAGAGGGCTGGACTAGAAGACCTCCGAGGCTCCTCCCAACTTGGTTCTGTTGTGTTGGGGCTTGCGTGCTTGAAGACTGGAGTGTCCTCTCAGGGATAGGTTATCACTTAGGGGCCCTGAGAAAGCAGTTGGGTCTCCCCAAAAGCAAAGGAATGAGTGCCATTGATGACCCGTGTCTGAAAAGATCCAGGGTCCCAAGTTCGAGGTTCCTTACCTTGCCAGCCTTGACCCTCTTCAGGGCCTTTGGCTGGGCTGTCCTGCCTCTTCGGTGGGCTTGACCCTCCTGGGCAGCGGGGACCCTCCAGAAGTTTCCCAATATTTCTAGGATGGGTAGGCAACCTTGGCTCTTTTATGACTCGTGGACTTCAACTCCCAGAATTCCTGAGCCAGCATGGCTCTGCTTGGAAACTTTCCCTTTCCCCTCAGCATGGCTGGCTCAGGAATTCTGGGAGTTGAAGTCCACAAGTCATAAAAGAGCCATGGTTGCCTACCCCTGTTCTAGGACCTGAAGAACACGGTCAGGCAGAGAGAAGCACGGTGCAATGGGCCCACTGCTCCAATGGGAACAGATAACTGCCACGGAAGCCACCAGGGCAATGTCGGGGTCCTCAGTGGGTCGTATCTGTTAGAATTGGCCATTCGTCTAGGGAGATTCTCCGTCATCCAGGTCCTGGTTGTCCCAAAGGTGCTTTTTTTTCAGGAGGCAACTGGACTTTCTTGTTTTTCTTTGAAGTAGTTTCGCTTCTCATCCAAGAAGCTTCTTCGGCTCTGACTGGATGGGGGGGGGGGGAATGGCAGGATTTATACTCCTTTGCAGTCATCTGGTCATTTGTATTTTTTCGGAGGATTGTGGAGGCCACTTGGAGGTTTAT